CGTTAAGATATATATTTTATCTGCAGAAAAATATAGTTATTCCGACGAATAAAGTTTGGCGAATCATTCATTCAAATATCAATTTTCTATTAATTTGAAAATCGTCAAGTATTTATATTCGATTCCTTCTTTAGTATTATGAATTGAATTTCAAAAGATCCTAATGAATTTCTTCAAAATAAATAGCAGAAAATACGAATAGTGCAAATATGAATTATAATATTATATATATTCAAGTATGAAAATAAAAAATCATCAAGACATAAATGAAATAAGAATTAAAATTCTCCATGTACAGGACTTAGGATTTGAGGGATCTATTAATTTTTTTCTGGGTTGGATGGAGAAGAAAATATGATGCTAGGGGCGGCCTTGCAGCCGGCATCGCAAGCTCAGCACTCTTTCTATCGACGCAGCGCACTCGCCCGTGCACCCGCGAGAACGAGAGCTTCCAGAGCATCTGTAGCTTTTGAAAGGACTTCATGGTTTGCGTGTGGATGCGACGGTACCCCGCCTGGAGTCAACCGAACGAACTACAATCAGCAATACAAGAGACGGCGTTGAGCGACTCTTAGAAAGTTTTCCCTCGGTATACAGTCGAATTCCGGAACGTGCGGAAGATTAGTCGCACTTGACCATGTTGACTCATGCAAATACCCTTCCTGAGGCTTGGCATCTGCACCCTCAGAAACGGAGCACCTGTAAATAGCCTGGAAAGGACTTCAAAGGTTGCGTGTGGAATCAATGGTACCCCAGTGCGGGGTGAACCGAAAGAGTAGCAAGTGACGGTGCTGAGTGACTGCTACTAGTAGTAAGTTGTCCACTCAGTATACATTCCAATGCAGGAACATGCGGATGACTAGTTTACTGGCAAGGGCTGGGTGATTAGAAGAGGCCCTGCTGTGATGATAATAGGTATATGGGAACCATAAGAAAAAATGATTACTGAGAAATCAGACCTCTACATTCGCCTAAAAGGCTGAGCAATCAAAATCACTGATCCTGGAATTCCCAGTCTCAACCGGGATGCGTTGCATTACAGCAATACCTTGGCTCACGCTCGCAATCCCTCAACCCGAAAAGCTTTTCTATTTCTCAGACTTCTGGCCTGTATGTTGTCAAGCTGTTGGAGACCCAGAACTAAAAAAGTTGACCAGAAACAGCAGAGACTCCGTCCAACCATATGGGAATGGGAGCAAGCCAGTTCTGCCAAAAGCTGACCTTCTTAACAGGCCCCCGAAGCATAATGAAACGGTAAATTACCTCTGGTACTGCGATACCCTAAACCCTAAACCCTAAACCCGGAAAGGAATTGAAAACCAGGTTCCTGAGCAGCACCTTTGTGATAAGCGTAACCTTTTTCCTACTATTCGGCTTAATAAGGGGAAACCAAACCAAAAAGGGCACAAGGGTACGAATTACTGAGAAACCTAGAAAAGCTTCCCAAAGTGCCACCTCGTGACAGCTTGCCTCTCCACCTCTTCACGATGACGCTGGTAACACTTTCGAGACCGACGCTTCGCAGAGGGGACAGGGCTCATGACGCACCGGGGTCCCAGACAGTGGGTGCGATATCCTGAGTTCTTCCAGCCACAGGAGAGCTTCCAGCTGTCCTTAAACGTACCTGACTGAAGCCGGCATTTTGGGCAGGGGCGGTAGAACAGACAGCATTCCCCGGTGCCCTGGTCCTCTTCATGCACCTCCAGAGCAGATATTCGGGATTTGAGAGCAGCTGTGGCACGTTCATAAACCCTCTGGGCATAACATGCCGAAACAGTCTGGAAGACGTAGCGGTCGCCTTTGGTGCGGTATTTCAAGGATCCCAAGAGGTTTGTCATCACACTGACATGCAAGGAGGCAAACTGGGACAGGTAAGCTCCCGCTGTGGTTTTGATGGCACGATCTGTCAGAAAGAGCTCGATGCTACCGAGCATAGCATCGTGCACTTCGTGGAGGTCATCGTACATCCTGTCCCTGGTTGCGTTCGAGATTTCTTTGATGGTCCCATTAGGATAAAGCTGGGAATTGTGGTAAACTGTCTCATTCACGGCCCACAGTCTTGTCTTGTAGCCCTTGATGGTCGCATCCCAGAGGTCCCCGAAGACGTCCTCCAACTGGTCCTCTACAAATTCTTGGACAAACCTGGGTTCTTGTTAAGGGGTTTACTTTAAGCTACCACTTTAAAGAAACAACCTTATTTACAATCGATCCCTATACTATGGTAACTTAACAAAAATTCCCTAAACCCTAAACCCTAAAATCCTTAACAAGAGCCCAGAAACGGCTTCACCTGCTCCCAAACACAGCGGCCCCAATCCTCTGATTCTGCAAAGGTGCAGGGATTCACTGGGAGTCCACCGAGGCTCGGAAAGAATGCGCCGAGGAGGGACCCTACGAAAGAAAAAGCTATAAGGCTCTTGAGGGCGATCAACTTCGCATCCTTGAGAATCTCTTTGAGGACGTCTGTCCCAAATCTTGCTGAAACCTGGGCAGCTTTCATTCCATACTTAGCTCCGGGATGATCGCTTTCATACTTGATGACATCGATAGTGCAGGAGGCCGGGTCACCACACTCATATTTCTCGGAAACTGCTGACCGCCCAGAGGTTATCTCGGGGGCATCGAATTCCTCTGCTGGGTCAGTGACATTCAATGGGCATCCAGCACAGATATCTACCAACTGGCCGTAGATCTGCTTCATGCTTGCGTACTGTAACGGCCAGTCCGATGCCATCTGTGTGGCTAAAGAGCAAGCCTGTTGCCGTGCCATGCAACCCAGGTCATCTGGGCCACCTTACTCCCCAATAAACCACCGAAGCAAAAGGTTAAACTTTCAGATTACCAGTAAACTACGAGAACCCAAGAAGCTTAGAGGCTTGGTACCGAAGAGCTAAGCTACATTCTCGCTGTGCTCCCAACTCGCCGGGCATGTCTGGCAATGCCCTGCGCAGCTGCACCAGTGGAGCATCCCGACAGTTTGCGGGGGACGAGGCATGCCCAAAGGCCACCAGGATCAGGTACCACATAGTCTGGGGATGTCTGGAGAACACCCACCTACAGCCCCCCCCCAATCAGCCTCCGAACCGCAGATCCTTCGTGGACAAACCATCACAAAGCTTCTCCTGTGGATAAGTGTAAAGACACCATGCAAGTGTGATTTCTCAACAACCACGTACATCGAGCTGCTATGCTTTTTGCGTCACTATAAGCGCGTGCTCAGTGTCGGAAAGTTGAAGGCTTGTTGAAAAGTGCAAGTTCTTGGGAAAATTCTGCAGCCAACGCTCTCCCTTTGGGAGTTCGGGGCTGGGTAGCTATAACTGATGGGAGGCCAAAAGGGGGGTTTAAGATTCTTGGGGTGGGATTCCTTCGTATGAACCCTATTATGGGAACCCTAGTCCCTACTAAACCCCCATAGGCTAAATCCCCTGTTGGCCTCCTGGGAATAACAGCGACCGAAACTCAACTGCTCTTTACCTCAACACGGTCTTCTGAGTTTAGGGCATGGGGTTGAGGGCTTGTGCAGTACACGGGGTCTAGTGAGTCGTGGCACCGCAAGAGCCAGAGTTTCTGGTTCGCTCATCTACGGCTAATCTACGGTTCTTCCGCGGCTCTGACCCCTAATGTAGGAACCTGATTAAGAAACCTTGGGCCTTTGTTCGGGTCCGTTCTATGAATCCTACTATTTTGGGGGGTTATAGGCCAAGGTTTCTTGATCAGGTTCTACATTAAACCCTAAGCGTCTGGTGTTTGGGGGTTTAGGGTTTAGGGCGAGTCTACCTCATGCCTTGGGCTAAATGCGCCCCATGCAGGAAGTGTGACCACTCGAAGCCTCATCGCGCAGCATTACCTGGGCCGACTACTGAAGCCCCCACAACAGCAAAACTGTTAGGGTTTAGGGTTTTGGGTTTATCATGGCTACTAAAAAACCAAAGACCCAAAACATCAAAACGTCCTGTAGACCAACCAGGAACAGCCCAAGTTACCTCCCTTCTCGCTGCCAGACCTCCGACCGCGGAATGTAATCAGCTTTTGGCATCATAGTGTACCAATACCTCAATTTCGGGCTAGAGTCTAGGGTCTTTGGTTTAGGGTTCCGGGGTTAGGGTCTAGAGCCATTCAAGGCTGCAGACAATGCATAATTAAGACTTCAGGGTTTGGGATTTTGGGTTTAGGGTGTTAGGGTTTTTGGCCTAGGGTCAAGTCGAGTGTTCGGATCAGGAGACTTGTCAAACAGGGTTGTACGTAAGGCGACCAAAAAATCATTTTTTGAAACCCAGGTGCAGTATTTCACACTCCGCTTGCTTGATCATAAGTCCTCTGAACCTTTATGTGGCTGTCCAATGCTCCGAACATAGGAAGCACCCTCAAAACCAGAACCCCAAGTACAACGGCCTAGACCCCCAGGCTGTTGAAACATTAGGGTTCAATGTCTAGTGCCATACAGGTTCGGAGGATCCGAGGAATCACCGCTGAATTACCGAAGCTAACTGCTCTACTCCGCAGACACAATGAAGGGGCCTTAATAATTAGAGTAGGGTTTTGGGCGGTTCCTGATGATGCTAGAATAAATAATATACCACCAAACCCTATTCTGATTATTGAGGTCCCTTGACTATAAGGATTATTTTAGGGCGTTATAGTATTCCTATTATACCACTATTACAGGGTGGGGGCCCCTTCTAACCCCTAGATTACTTTCCGTCTCGGGGGCTGCAGAGGTGATAAGCAAGAACAAAACCCGACCCTCTGGCTGACAAAGCCACAAGAGCGTGCTGCCATAGTAGCACTTCGCCAGCTTGAGAAACCCAGGACCTTCACATCCGGCATTCCTGGACGATGGAGAGCTGATGCGAAAGCAAAACGACTCCGCTACGGGTGATGATATAAGTCCCGAGACTGGGAAGTATGGTATGTATATTTCTTATTATGGGTAATGCAGGGTTTAGATCATCATCAACCGTATCTCCCCCGCTGGCAAGCCCGAAACTGTGCTCTGAACCCTGAACCCTCACGACATAACCCCAAACCCCTAAGCCCTGAACAATTCCAGCATCGGGCCAGGCGGGACGATACTGCGGGAGGTCGCGTTCACTAAAGGGGTATCACCCCCCATCTCTAAACCCTATAGTTAACCTTTAAGGCAGAAGCTTAAGTCAGAAGCTCTGACACTCCTAGAAACCAAACTCGGAACCAAAACTTGAATAACCTGCTTTAGAAGTCTTGCATCTTATCACTAGGCCTTTGAGGGTTCAAGTAACACTGTAATTAAACCAACAAAACGACTTCTTTCCTGCCAAAACCGAGATCCAATCCTGAAAGACCTGGAGCCCCATCCTATACAAGACATCAAGACGCTAAAGGAATGCATGATACTGATCTAGGATGCCCAGTAACCTAGGAATAAAAAGGGCTCCCTCTGGTATTAGGTAACTTTATAGGGAACCTAGGATTTTAAAAAAGGGAAGAAGCTAGTGATTGTTGAGAGCCCTGCTTAAATCTTGCAGTCCCAAATGTCAACCCGAATTTGAAGAGCCGCCGTTTACCCAGAATGTTGAGAACCCTTCAGAGGACCTTTAAAGGAATCCTTAGACGAACCCTGAGTAAAACTACTGCAAAACTGCACCCTAAACCCTGCATTAAAGGAACCCTAAAGCGCCATCCAAAAAGGAACCCTCATAATACTCAAAATGGCGCCCAAGGGTCTTGATCACAAAGGTGTCGTCCTCATCACAGATCTCAAGATCCAAGCCAGGCACTGGTGCGTATTGATTTCCTCGGCGTTCGTTCTTTGATTTTAACACTTCAAAAAGGGCTTGTGCTTCAAAAAGGGCTTGTGCCAAAATGTTCAAGTTCTATGGTAGGGGTGTTGTAGGCTTTGTACATGCGAGGTGTTTCGGGGTTTCATGCGGCTTTCTGAACCAAGGTACATTTCTGCACAGCTCCCCTCAATGCAGACTATCTTTAAGCAGCGTTCACATCGCAAACTAATTCAGTCACTCCAGAACCTTCCTTCCTTTACCGTCCCAAGGACTATTTCCTGCCCTAACCCTAAACTCTAAACCTCTGAACCCTAAGCCCCTAAACCCTAAAGCCCTAAACCCTATATATATATATATATATATATACCCCTAATCCTAAACCCCTAACCCCTAAACCCAAGACCATTACCCGCGGAGTTTCCAGACACGGAGATCATCGTGGAGTTGATGTTCTCATTGTCCACCTACCATGCTCTCATCATAGGGACCCTTAGGGGGGGTGGGAGGGGGGAGGTGGGTAGGGGACTATACTTCCTTAAATAGGCCTTGTTAAGGGGATCGTAGGGGGGGTAGGGGGTAGGGGACTATACCCCTAGCCCCGCTTTTGGGTGCTAGGATCGGAAGACCGAGCAGTGTCTGGTCATGGTTGACAGCTCTACTTAAAGGATCATGGGACTTAGTAACTAGGGTTCCTTTAAGGGCTCCTTACAGGGATCTATAGGGGTTCTAGTATAAGAGGGGATTTAGGGTCTACTTAAAGGATCATGGGACGTAGTAACTAGGGTTATATTTACAGTAACTATACTTATAACTACTTATAACCCCAATTAAGGTACTTATAATTATACTTACTAAGTCCCATGATCCTCCAAGTACCACTCACGCAAACCCCCAGGTGAGGTTTAGTGAGGGCTCAGGGTTAGGATAGACGATTGGTGGTGGATCGAAGAGAGGGGCCTAAATCATTAGAATTGGGTTCTGGGGCCCATTATATTATGTCTATAATAAGGAACCACCAGCATAGTATAAATAATACGTTGAGCCCCTTTTGTATTGGACTTCTGGGTTCTGCGTCTTGGCCTGCCAGTGCCCGTTGAACCAGGTCCAATCACAGTTGCTTCCAGGCCGAGTCGACGCATCGACGGCGTAAGGTCCGGTCAAGAGCAGCAACAGCAAGCGAGGCACGGGGCACATCGTTGGACGCCCCTTTTCTTTTTGTAGGACGGTTCGGAGCCGATATCTGATGCAGAAGACCAATTTTGTGACACGTCGAAATAAAGAGAACTACCTATATGGGAGTTTCCGAAAATAGGGGACCCTAATCTAGTACCTGAAATAGTAGGATCCTTAGTATAAGGACCCGGCACAGGGTCTTGGTCTTACGCCGAGTCTTACGCTAAGCCCCAAAAATCATCAACAAAACTCGACGAGCCCGAGACCACGGGTCCCAAACCGAAAACCCTAAACCCTAAGGGTTTAGGGTTTAGGGTTTAGGGGCCATAACTCGGGAAGTTGCAGTTGGGGAGTATCAAATCTCTTGCAGCCACAGGCCGCAGCCCAAACTCTTCAGCTACGTAACATGCTGTCAATTTCTGTATGTATGTGCATGTACGTAAACGAAACAGGCATGTTCATAAATCTATACACAAATATAGTCATGTATGTATGTATGTATGTATGTATATATATATATATATATATATATATATTATGCAAATCCATCTCTCCATCTCTATCTATGTCTCCATCTCTCTGCCTACATGCATATTTATAGTTGTACAAGTTATCTGCAGGATATGCTCCCTCAGGATAGCTCAGGTGCCGTGGTTCCACACATGGAGTGATTTCTTAATGCACGACGTCCTGTGCTCTTTGCGGCAGCTGAGTTGTTTCTTGAGCTCTCAGTGTACAGAGTCTAGACTTTCCGGATTTATGGAGGTTTCCTGAACCAGCACATGTATTTGTAGCAGGTTGCCCTTATAGCTTACATTTAACCACCCGACATGCTTGAGACCACCCATTGACCCCATAAGCTTGTCTAAAACGTTGGCCATAACCCTCAAAGTTTTGCCGGGTGTTAGCCTCTTGCCCTGTCTGCTGTGGAAAGCCCTGCATTCTACCCTCCAGGTTCTTAAAGGCAAATCTGCTTTTAGTGTGCCTTGGCAAACCGTGTACGGTACCGTAGTATGTTGCCGACTTGGGATCAGGTTCCTGCATACAGTTGTTTTCGCCATGGCATGTTTTAAACACATGCACAAGCAAACCAC